TAGGATGTTGTATGGACTCCGGGGAGTGCTTAGGGAAGGAATGGTGTATTTAGGAAAATAGGTGTAAAGCTTAGAATGTGTGTGAGAGAGAGAGAGAAGAGAATGTGTGTTGGTTCCCCGAGACTGAGAAATCAGCCTCGTATTTATAGAAGAAATGAACAGGGTGATGCACGAAACCCTAGAAATGAAATGCGTCGAGGAGGAAAACCTAAAAATTGTCGCGTCATGGCAGGATTTGCCGTGACACGGCAAATCTGTTTTCCAGATTTCCGTCCAAATTCATTTTAACCCTATTACTTTATCATTAAGTACGTGATATTTTGGCGCCGTTTCAGAGTTCCGAACCTATTTAGGGTTTTATTATTTTTTTAATCAGGCTTAATTAATAAATAACAAAATGGATTAAAAAGGGTTTGGGCTATAATAAGAGTTGGACAATGTTCGAATAAATGTTTGGACTGATTTGTTGACTGATGTGTTTGACTGTACATGGATTTTAAGCACTCCCGAGATTAAATACTCGACCCGACCAATAATGGCGGTGAAAGGTTGTTCATCATCGGGTTTGGTTTTGGGGAGACATTTTTAGGTGTCTACAAAAGCCCCCACTTTGACTGAGTTTTTAGAAACGTAAGTTTCGAATACGATAGTCGAAGTAGTCGATTGGAACGGAGAATGATTTAAGACGTTATGCGATCCAAAATCACTCTATATACATCGATATTTGCAGAAAAGAGTTAGTTTCACAGATAAAAGAGTAAGGGTATAGAATGCGTATCTGACACCAATGCATGGAAACAAACACATTTTGGTAGTCTTCTACGCCTCGAGAATTTTGTTAGATGATATTTTTCCACGCCTCGGGAATTTTGTTAGATGATATTTTTCCACGCCTCGGGAATTCTCTTAGATGATGTTTTTCCACGCCTCGGGAATTCTGTTAGATGATGTTTTACTACGCCTCAGGAATTTCTGTTAGATGATGTTTTTCCACGCCTCGGGAATTATGTTAGATGATACAATCGCTGACTTCTACGTCTTGAGAAGTGTGCAACGACCGACAATTTTCTATGCCTCGGGAAAAGCTTGTCTGATATGAGATAGTTTCCTCCCCTCAAGAACTCTACCGTGAACCACTACGCCTTAAGCGATCCGCTAGAAGGTAATAAAATTGCTGACTTCTACGCCTCGAGAAGTGTGCAATGACCGACAATTCTCCACGCCTCGAGAAAAGCTTGTCTGATTTGAGTTAGTTTCCTTGCCTCGGGAACTCTTTCGTGAGCCACTCCGCCTCGTGTAGCACACAAGTGAAATTCCATACTCCGGGAATAACACTAAATATCCCTGCCTTGGGACATTATCGTTGACTCCTACGCCTCGAGAAGTGTGCAACGACCGACAATTTTTCACGCCTAGAAAAAAATTTGTTTGATAATGAAAAATTACAAGTATCTGTTTATCGAGAACCTTGCAACGTGAATCGTCCTTGCCTTGGGAGATAGTCACCAGATGTTTGATAAATGTTTCATGGTGGTTCGATTATACCCCGAACATGGGCTGCAGATGATGATTGTTTGATTATCCTCGAACGTGGGATGTAGAGATGTTGATGTGTTCGATTTTCCCCGAACAGAGGCTGTAACTGAGACTTGCAAAATAAATCTTTCCAAGGGACTCGTATAGACTGTGATTGTCTTGACTAATTGACTTGATCAAGCTTGACTTGACATGACATGACACGTGTATCACTTGTGATTGTGTGTGTGTGTATGATTTGACTCTGTGTGCAGACACAAGCAAATGAAAACGCAAAAGCAAAAAAATTCCGTCATTTTTTTTTTGTCATGAGTGGAGGGTACCGACTTTCTCCCGAAATAGAAAGACATGAAAGTTTTTTTTTCGAACTTCCCTCGATGAGAAAACTTTTGAAAAAGTATTTGAACTTCCCCAAAAGAAAAAAGATGGAAAAAAAGGAGGAAGTTTTGTACTTCCACGCCGAGAAAATTTTGAAAAAGTTTTTGAACTTCTCCAAAAGAAAAGACATGAAAAAGGAAGAAGTTTTGAAGTTCATCGTTAAGGAAAGCGAGAAGAATCGCATGGATTTTCTTCTTGTCAGATTGACTCGCTCGTCTTAAAAATAATGATGCATTATTAATGTTCTTAGGCCAGGAGGCTAAGGACAATTACATCATGTGACACGATCAATGAATGCACTTAGGTCATGAAGCTAAGAACAGTATAGTCGTAGTTTATTCGTCGATGTATATTGCTTAGGTCAAGGAGCTAAGCATCATATAGTGTATAAAAAACAATCTTGATGAACGTTGCTTAGGTCTAGAATCTAAGCACGTATACAATGGTGATTGCTCAGTGTTGCTTAGGTCAAGTGACTAAGCACGATATGCAATTTTTGCAATAGTGAATGTTGCTTAGGTCAGGGAGCTAAGCACATCTTGCATGAATTTTGATAAGTGTACCTAGGTTAGGAAGCCGAGTCCATTTGTGATAATGCTATCGAATGATGATGACTTTGCTGGAAGTTGTTGTGAATAATAATGAAGCATATGTGGTGTTGCAACAAGATTTCATGATAAGGGGTTCCTATGAGAAGGAGGGTATGGCAATGTACGTGTGGATGAAGTGTGTGAATGAAGTGTGTGAAAGTGATACTAATTAAGGCGGGCTGCAAAGGCTATGGTGATGGAAATAGATGTGAGAAGAGTCAAAGATGATAACACTTTAGGCTAGGTAAGCTAAGTGATGTGGGTTGAAGCCCCCAAGTCTAGCTCTATATGGATAGGGATGAGCATTGGAAATCTCTTGACACGATCATATGTGAATGTGGCCGCACCTTGATGTGAGGTTGCCTACGTATCCATTAGGAATCAGGCCGAACGTAGCTCTAGCCGAACTTTGCACAAGTGTATGTACACCTCAAAGAGGTCTTTCAAGGGTTGTAACATGATTAAGCTAATGGTATGAAGAAGAAAAGGGTAAAAGACTCAAGACCCAAGAGAAGCCCCAAGATGTGTAATTGTGTGTTTGAAATTTAAATCTGCAAGTTTTATTTTTCACATTTTTTATTTTTATTTTTTCACATTTTTTGCTTTGAATTTTTGCTTTTCTTTTAAATCAATATGGGCAATCTCGGATCATGCGGTCCATCACTCACTTAGCATTCATGTTTCTTAGGCACGGTACTAAGCACTCGATGAGAGACGCAATTTGAGACGTGTTCATATCAAAGACATTAGAACACTTGCCCTTAAACATTGTTTTATTATTGCGCTTTTTTTTTAATGCGAAAAAGACATGATCAGGATGTAAGGGAAAATGCTCATTTTATTAATGGGAAAAAAAGGGTGAACAAACTATCAAAATGCTCAAATAAAGGCGAAAATGGAAATCTATGCTAGACTTGGATGGGGAAAAGGGAAGTAAATAAATAAAAAGAACAAAAAACATCATGAAATCTTGTGCGGAGGCTTCATCTAGCGCTTTGTCTTCATCGCTGTCTATCACTTCTTACCACCTAGAGGAACAGGAAGTTCGTTTGCATCTACTAGATCTCGAATAACGACCTTCAAATACTAACATTGTTCAGTGGTGTGGCCTTTTCCTTGATGGAACTTGCAGTGAGCCTCAACCTTCCTCTTGGGATTCCTTTGCTCAGGTTTTGCTTCTGGAAATGGTCCAATGGGTGTAATCAGACCTTCATTGTAAAGGTAATCAAAGGCAGCATCACAAGTCATTCCCAAAGGAGTGTAAATTCTCTTTTTCCTCGAGAGAGAAGTGTTAGAGCTGGTACTTCATTGAGATCGCACTGGCCTATATTGTTGGTGTTGTTGTTAGGCTTGGAAGACGAAGAAGAAGAAATGACGTTCTTCTTGTTTTTCCAAGTGTTTTTGTTATTTCCACGCTTGTTCTTCTTAGCAAAAGCAGTGGAAGGTTGTACTATGCAGGTGAAACCTTTAGAGATTTTGCTCACTTCTTCTTTAGCTTGTCAACTGTAGCATTGTTTTGTTCTAGGTTAGTGACCTTAGTATCAAGACCTTGTATCATGGTGATGAGTGTCTCGATTAACTTGTTGAGTTGCTCGATATCTTCCTTACTTTCCATTGGAGCAAAGCAAAAGTGGACGATGTGACGGTGGTGGACTCGATATCTACACCTGCTTCTTGACCAAGTGCTGCGATATAAACCAAATTCACTTAATGGTTTGACTCACTGTTCAAAATAGGGAAGGAAGGGGGAAAGATAGACATTTTAAAATAGGTAACAAAAACTCCATTCATTTTTGTGACGAAAAAAGGAGACACATGCATGACCCTAGTGTACAATCATAAACGATATGGGGCACGACTCGAGTCAAAAAACACTACTAGAAAACACCTATTTACGACGGAAAAAATCCGTCGGAACACCATGAAAATCCGTCGGAAAAGGCACTTTCCGACGGAATTCCGTCGGAAGACGTCGTCAGATTTCACTTTGTAGGAATTTTGGCCTTTTTCAAGGGATTTTCCGTCAGAAACATCCATACCGACGGATTATTACTTGTCGGAGCCTAAGTTTGACCAAAATGGGAAGTCCGTCGCAAGCGTCCGACGGACTTTATTCCTTTGGAAGTGGCTGAGTTTTCGACGGAATATTCCGTCGGAATATGTATATATATACATATACATATATGTGTGTGTGTGTGTGTATATATATGTATATATATATGTATATATATATGTATATATATATATATATATATATATATATATATATATATATATATATATATATATATATATACTATTTCCAATATTTACAGCCAAATAATGTAATTTAAAATTAGTACTAATAAACACTACGTAAATTAAAGCTAAGAAACTGCGGGAGTGCCCTGGCCTGCTCCACCACTACCCGGGTCGTCGTCCATGGGATCTCGAAATGGAGGTCACACGGTGGAACATATGTCATTGGGGAAATGACTCATCATCCTCTGTTCCCACCTCCTCTCCATTTCTTCCATTTGGGCCTTTACTGAGCTTGAACTCGAGCTTCCATCTCGAGTTCCATTTCTTCCCGAAGAGCCTGCACCCTGGTTTCCATCTGATCCTACATCTGAGAAACAAGGGAGGGCGTGTACTGCATGGAAGATGTGGAAAGTCGACCCATCTGGCTGCCATAGTAAAGGTCAGCACTTCCACCAAGTCCCTTCACACGTCCTTTTTTATTCCGACCACCCATTGTCTCCCAGTACAGCTCATTCGGACTCTTCTGAATCCTTTTGAGTGCTAGCCTCCTCAACCCCCTTTTGATAGGCCTCCTACAAGATAAACATTTGAAAAGGAACAAACGAGTTAGTAAGTTATATAAATAAGCTTTGGGTACCATGTTCATGAAAAATAAACCAAGTACCATGACGTAGGTGACTTCTACTTAGGCCAATTACTTCATTTCTTAGAAAATGAGCTCTTTTTTTCTCATTCCATATCAATTAAACATATTTTTAGGTGTCTAGGGCTTAAAATGACAAAAAAAAAAACAAAGTAACAAAGTTTTAGGTATAATATTCATGAAAAATAACCAAATAAGGCCTAAGTGACTTCTATGTTGCCCATTTTCTCTATTTCTTAACTAATGTTCTCATTTCTTATCCAAACATGTCAAATGTACATAGTTTTATGTGTCTAGGGCTTGAAATACCAAAAAAAACAACACATTAAGTTTTGGGAGCCATATTGATGAAATCCGCACCAAGAATGGCCTAAGTGACTTCTATGTTGCCCATTTTCTCTATTTATTAGCTAATGTTCTCATTTCTCATCCAAAAATGTCAAATGTACATATTTTTAGTAGTCTAGGGCTTGAAATGCCAAGAAAAACCAACACATTAAGTTTTGGGAGCCTTAATGATGAAAAACGCACCAAGTATGGCCTAACTGACGTCTATGTTGTCCATTTTCTCTATTTCTTAAATAATGTTATCATTTTTAATCCAAACATGTCAAATGTACATAATTTTAGGAGTCTAGGGCTTGAAATGTCAAAAAAAAAAAACAACACATTAAGTTTTGGGAGCCATATTGATGAAAACCGTACCAAGAATGGCCTAAGTGACTTCTATGTTGCCCATTTTCTCTATTTCTTAACTAATGTTCTCATTTCTCATCCAAACATGTCAAATGTACATAGTTTTAGGACTCTAGGGCTTGAAATGCCAAGAAAAACCAAGACATTAAGTTTTAGGAGCCTTAATGATGAAAAACGCACCAAGTATGGCCTCGGTGAATTCTATGTTGCCCATAGTTTAAGGGGTACATGCCTTGAAATCACAAATGTACATATTTTAATGGGTACATGCCTTGAAATCATAAAAAACAACAAGTCCCTAAGGTTTGGGACGCATTTGGAGCCAAATTGAACCAACTATGGCCTATAAGACCTATTCTTTGCCCATTTTCTTCATTTTCAACCAAATGAACTATTTATTTCTCTAAACATGTCAATTATAGGTATTATAAGGGGTACATGCCTTGAAATAACAAAAAACAACAAGTCCTTAAGGTTTGGGACGCATTTGGAGCGAAATTGAACCAACTATTGCCTAGATGCCCTATTCTTTGCCCATTTTCTTCATTTTCGACCAAATGAACTATTTCTTTCCCTAAACATGTAAATTATAGGTATTCTAAGGGTTAAATGCCTTGAAATCATAAAAAACAACAAGTCCCTAAGGTTTGGGACGCATTTGGAGCCAAATTGAACCAACTATGGCCTATAAGACCTATTCTTTGCCCATTTTCTTCATTTTCGACCAAATGAACTATTTCTTTCTCTAAACATGTCAATTATAGGTATCCTAAGGGGTACATGCCTTGAAATCACAACAAACAACAAGTCCCTAAGGTTTGGGACGCATTTGGAGCCAAATTGAACCAACTATTGCCTATAAGACCTATTCTTTGCCCATTTTATTCATTTTCGACCAAATGAACTATTTCTTTCTCTAAACATGTCAATTATAGGTATTCTAAGGGGTACATGCCTTAAAATCACAAAAAACAACAAGCCCCTAAGTTTTCAGTACCATATTCATGAATAATGAACCAATGAACTAAGTTTAGGGAATTTGTTACCGCAATTTCCTGAGCTGTGGGGTTTACTGCCATTGTGCCTTTCCAAGGAAGCTCCTTGAAGTGTGTCTTCAGAAACAGCTCAGGAGCTGTTGGCAGCTGGCCCTTGTTCTTCGCCACTTTTGATAAAAAAAAATAAGAATAAACGTTAACCATGTCACACCCTTGTTACATTGAAATACACAAAAATGCCTTTTAATATAAGATCTTTTTAAATAAACTTATAATCCTTTTTGCATGTTGGCCATCTGACAACGAACCCTAAAAGTGGGTCCCTCGAACGGGATTTTCCATAGAACCGCCCCTTCTGTTCTTCTTGTTTTGCGCCGACCTCTCCTTGTAAGTTGGATCCGAGGCAACAATGTCCATCATCTCCTTGTGGATCTCCTCACTCAGCCAACTTGGCTTGGCGCCATTCATCTTGTGCATGATGGTGTGGAACATGTCACGCAGGCGTGTTGCTACCCTCCTCCGAAATGTGAGCTTCACTAGCTCGTTCATCTGGGGTGCCCTTCTGAATTGTGCCAGCAAATGATAAAATACAAAAGTTATACACAAAACTAAATCAATACAATAGCTAAAACATGTATTAACTAAGACCCAAAAATATCATACGCTGAACAAGTTCCACCAGTGTTCCTTCGTAGCTGCAGGAACTTCTCCAAAGTTCCTCTAAGGGGCTCGGTAGTATCCAGTAATCGTACAGGATACCACACTCCGAACCTTAGGATCATCAAACCTATAACAAACGGGAAACAACAATGTTAAACAAGTTCAAAAATAGTAATATAAGCCTTATATCTCATCATCCATATCATGATATGTACGTACCACAACGTAGTAAGGTCCAAAAACGGGAGTTGTGACTCATCCTGTGACTCATCCCGTGGCCCATCTTTTGGAGGAGTGGATGAGGTCGTCTGATCGTCACCCAAATCGTGTGCCTCTGCATCGAACATCTCCTCATCCTGGTCGTCGTTGAAAAGGGCGCGGGCGGTCATTTTCTCTTTCCCCTTTGCTTTGTTCGACGATTGCCCACTTTTTCCACTCTCCATGACTACCTGAATCAGATGTTAGAAAAATGACAAGATATTATAAATAAAAAATGCAGTGAAACGTAATATGGCTTTTATACAAACACTAAAATTTTTTACATAAGCCTAATTAATATTTTGATTTTACAATAAGAAGCATACTTGTAAAGGAGATTAACATATTCTCCTACTCAGTACTCTCATCACTACTTTCACTACTAGAGTCATCACTACTATCATCTAATACTACATCGATGTCATCATCATTGTCACTATCACTAAAGCCGATACTAGATTCATCGTCTTCATCGCTTGAGATCACAAAGCCATCGTCATCGTCTTCATCATCATCATCCCTGGCGTAGTCTGGAATGTCATTCAGTGGGCAAAGCGTTGCATGTATAGTTGGGGATGGTGATTGTAGAAACTCTAAGTCCACTAGAGCATCAACCACTGACCTTGCTTGTGTTTTAAACACAGACCACCATTGAACTCGGTCCCGTTTCAGGCTAGGGTATGATGCGTAGTACACTTGAGCCACTTGGTAAGATAAGACAAATGGATCATATTTGGGGTATTTCTTAGTATGATTTACTTCGATTAGCTTGTATTGTTCATGTATGTTCATTCCCCTACCATAATCCATCCAATTGCACTTAAACAAAATTGTCTTGTACTGTCTCTTAGGTCCCATGTAGACAAGTTCAATTATATCGTCTAAAATGCCGAAGTACTCTCTGCCATCCTTACTTGATACACACACACCATAATTCATGGTGGATTTGTGCTTGCCAGGGGCATGTGTATGGAAATTAAATCCACCTACAAAAATCTGGCCCCAAGTACGAACTCGCCTAAAGGGACGCATGCACAACGCTCGCAGGACATCCGAATTTGGCTTCTCTTTGACCACCTATAAAGTGGTTGAATATCAACATCACGGTTCCTGAATTCAATGAATTGAAATGCAAGATGTAAAATTCATAATTATTTCACGGTTACACCGCGTATATCACCTTGTGATGAAACCAATCAGCGAATTCAGCTTTGAAATTCTCCATGACTTCTTCTCTACGCAGGAAAGGTCGAGTACTAAGAATGTAGTCCTCAAACTTCCTACGAGGCCAAACACACAATGTAAATCTACAAAGTCATCATTGTAAATGATCGTAAATACGAATACACTGAATACGTGGGCCTAATATACCTTTCGTATTCGCTAAGAATGCCGATGTTTCGTAACACGAACAAATGTGCACACTCGAGTTCTTTGTCATCTAAGAACCGAGTTCTACCCTCATTTGACACACGACCACTGTCCTCTTTGAACAACTCTGGTATTTCAGCGTCATCCAATGTGGACTCAACGTCAGCATTCACATTTCGATCAAGATCTCGAGTTTTAGTGTCAACTGTCGACTGAAAGTAATTGGAGCAGAAGTTTGCTATCTCTTCAGTGAGATAAGAATTGCATATGGACCCTTTAACTCGAGCCTTGTTCCCAATTTTCCGTTTCAAATGATTGAGGAACCTACAATTACAGTTGTTATGTAACTGTATGAACAAGTGATTAGGATGTAAAACAAAGGATGTGAAATAAGGGTATTTCATTTACCTTTCGAAGGGATACATTCATCTGTATTATACAGGACCACATAACTTCCCATCGTATGGCAAATGTATAGGCAAATGTTGCATGGAGTTAAATAATGCAGGAGGGAAGATCTTCTCAAGCTTGCAGAGGATCTCAGGTTTGTTTTTCTTCAATCGCTCCATGTCACTAACTGATGTTGTACAGCAACACAAGTCGCGGAAGAATTGGCTGATCTCTGTAATTGCATTCCAAATATGGCCAGGGAGCAATTCCCTTAAAGCTGTGGGAAACATCCTCTCCATGAACACGTGACAGTCATGGATTTTCATTCCATGGAGCTTACACGCTTGCAAATCTACGCATCTTCTCAAATTGGAGGCGTAACCATCAGGGAACCGCAGCTGCTTAACCCACTCACTCAAAACTTTTCTCTGAGCCTTTGGCATGACCTTTTTTCCTCTATCATCCTCTTGAAGATGAACTAGGGACGTTTACAATATCTGGCAATGTCATTCCGAGTTGATGGCGTGTCACACGTATGCTTTTTCACATCCATTACAGTGTGAATTAACTGATAAAAGAAGTTCTTCTCAATGTGCATGACATCTAAGTTGTGACGAATGAGGAGATGCTTCCAATATGGGAGCTCACACAAGGTGCTTTGCTTGAACCAACCCTTCTTTTCATTTTTCAGCCTTTTAATTGAATCGGGTCCATCTGTAGCCTTTGGGAGGTCCTTCACACCTTCCCACAGCTCCTCTCCTGACATGATGTGTGGAGGGGCACCTTTCTGTACTTTGTTTTTACAGAATGCAGTTTTACTGTTCCGAAAAGGGTGATCTGTCGGAAGGTATTGCAGATGGCAATCAAACTAAGAAACTTTACCACCATGTTCAAGCCAAAATGCTTTGCTCTTCTCCATGCAATGTGGACAAGCTTTCTTACCAGCCGTGGCCCAACCAGACAACATGCCATCAGCCGGGAAGTCACTAACGGTCCATAGGATGGCTGCTCGAAGATTGAAATTATGTTTCTTCGAAATATCATAAGTTGTCGCGCCAACTTCCCACAACAATTTCAACTCCTCTATCAATGGTTGCATGTAAACATCCAAGTTGCCCTTAGGGTTTTTAGGACCAGGAACGAGTAACAAAAGGAACATGAATTGTAATTTCATACACATTGAGGGAGGCAAGTTATAAGGGGTCAAAATGACAGGCCAACAAGAATATTGTCCCCCAAACTTAGCATGAGGAGCAAAACCATCTGTATACAATCCAAGTCTCACATTACGAGGCTCGGAAGCAAACTCTGGAAACCGACTATCGAGGTGTTTCTAAGCTTCACTGTCACTAGGGTGTGCCATTTTGCCTTGAACTCGGGGATTTTTCGAATGCCATGTCATTTCCTCCGAAATGTTCTTGGTGGCAAACAGTCTTTGCAACCTGGGTGTGATCGGGAAATAAAACAGAACATTCAAAGGCACTAGGCTACCTTTGGAAGTCTGCTTATATCGATCGCTGCCACACACCCTACATGCAGACAACTGAGCATCATCCTTCCAAAACAACATACACCCTTTTGGGCATGCATATATCTTTTGATAGGATAGTTCCAACCCCTTCACAATCTTTTTTACCTCGTAGAAAGTGTCGGCCATATGACCGTTGTTCGGGATCGCCTCACTTAGCAAAGAAGCAAACCCATCAACACATCTGTGAGGCAAATTATACTCACACTTTAGACTAGTGATTCTAGCGACCATTTCTAACACAGAGAAAGAACTCCCTTCGTATAATGGCCTTTCAGAAGCCTTCAACAAATCCAAGAAATGCTTAGTTGTTGCATTAGGCTCCTCCTCTGATGAAACATTAGCCTCATCTGAGGGCCCCTGATCTTCAGTATGACCAAAAGCATCGAGAACCATGTCACGATATTCATTGGACCGCCATTCGGGAACTCCCGGATACCCTTCCCCGTGACACATCCACTTATAGTAGTTAGGTATGAAACCCTTGCCATACAGACGAATTTTAACCGTATCCGCATTCCAAAGGCGTTTGTTCTTACATTTAACACATGGACACCTAACCTCATTCGGGTTACTACTCTCGGGATGATCTGTGACGTACTGAATGAATTCATCAACTCCTTTCACAAAATTAGGATTAATACTTTGCCCAATCATCCTTTCATACATCCAGCTACGTTCTCTTCGTTTCATGATTACAACTTCTACACAGCTCACGCATATGTACAATCACATTAGTCATAAATCGTATTTCGCAGTCATTATCCACTAAAGCGTTATGGAAATGCAAATGAGATTTGAAATGCTTCCAAAGGGTCCTTATCACTCCAACCTAACCTATCCTTGTACGTTTATTCTCACTAGTGAATGTAACCCAGGTTTTCAATTCTATGGAAAATCCGCCAGCATTTCCCTACAGTTCTCCAAGTACACGATGTAGGCGATTAAACAAACCTACATATGTACCCAGAGAACACGGTAGAGAAATGCATGAAAAGGATGGATTTTCCCTAGAAAAAAAACAAGGCTTACATTCACCACCTAAGTGAGAATAAGCGTACAAGGACAGTCCCAACCGGGGACTATTCAAGACATACTCCTAATGTGTATGCCTTGAACGAGTATCTAGGCATATGATTATGCAAATGATTCATTTATTATATATATATATATAAAAAAAGTGAATAACACACGCATTTTACTAAACAGAGATATATCATAATTAAACTAAACTAAGCAAATAAATAAGCACGCTTATTAAATATTATATTAAACATTATATCAAACAAAAATATTAAACTAAATACACTAACATACACTTTATTAAACTAAACTAAACCAAATTTAACTAAACTAAACTTTATTAAAATAAACTAAACCAAACTATACTAAAATAGACTAAACTAACATACATAATTACCCTAAACTAAACCAAACTAAACTAACATGTTATAATACAATAATTACAAACTAAACTTAAATAAACTAAACTAATCTAACATATCATAACACAATCACATTCATTTCAAATATCTCAACAAATTAAAATATAAATACAACAAATTGTAAATACAATAACTAAAAACAATAATAAACTAACATATATCTACACACCATTAGGATCTAACATGCCAAGTATAAACTACATTTATAAATTTAGCTTTTAAATACTCTCTAACCTGTAGATCTGAAGTTGTTGTTGCCAAAGAACCAATTCAATCTACAAATCCTACAAATATTCAAATTCCAAACAAAAAATAAAAGTATAAACTAAATTTATAATTTCAGCTTTTTAAGTTTATGCTTGCATTTTGTATAAAATAATGAATAAATGATAAATGTGAACTTATATTAAAAAATAAAAATAAAAAAAAAATTTATAAAACCCGAACAGTA